CTTGCTTAGCACGCAGGATGCCTGGGGCTTGAGCTTCAGAATTCACAAAAACCACGAGGACCTGAGTTCAGATCCTCAGCATCCATGTAAAAACTGGGAGAAGCAGCCAGGCATGGTGGCACATGCCTTTAATCCCAGCACTCTGAGGAGGCAGAGGCAGCTGGATTTCTGTGAGTTCAAGGCCAGACTGGTCTAGAGAGTAAGTTCCAGGACAGCCCAGGGCTGTAACACAGAGAAACCCTGTTTTGAAAAACCAAACCAAACCAAAACAAGTGAGGCATCTGTAACCAGGGCATACTCTCACCCAACAGTGGGAATACAGAGACAGGTGGATCCCAAGGGTTCACTGCCAGCCAACAACCACCGAAATCAGGTCCAGTTTTAGTGAGAGATCTGAACTCAAAAAAGTATGGTGGACAGGGCTGGGGATCCAGCACAGTGGTAGAGTGCTGGGTTAGTGTCTAGGTCTCTAACACTGTGATAAAACACTATGACCAAAAGCAATTTTGGGAGGACAGGGCTCATTTGCTTTCAGGTTATGATCCACGATCAGCTAGGTATCCAAGTTAGGGTTTCTCTTGTTGTGAAGACACACTATGACCACAATAACTGTTTGTTTGTTTTTTCCAGACAGGGTTTCTCTGTGTAACTCTGGCTGTCCTAGAACACACGTTATAGACCAGGCTGGCCTCAAGAGATCCACCTGCCTCTGCCTCTGGAGTGCTGGAATTAAAGGCATGAGACCCCACACCCTGCCACAGCAACTCTTACAAAGGAAAACAATTCATTGGGGCTGGCTTATAGTTTCAGTAGTTTAGTCCATTAGCGTCATGGCTGGAAGCATGGCAGTGTGCAGATAGACATGGTGCTAGAGAAGGAGCTGTTTTTTACAGGCAGCAGGAAGTAACAGTGACACATTGGCCAGGCTTGAGCATCTGAGACCCAAAGCCCACCCCCAAGTGATGCACTTCCTCCAGCAAGGCCACACCCACTTCAACAAAGCAACACCTCCTAATAGTGCCACTCCCTATGGACCTATGGTGGCCATTTTTATTGAAAACCACCACACTAAGGCAGGAACTAAAGAAGAAACAACTGAGGAGTGCTGCTTGATGACTTGTTCCTCATGGCTTGCTCAGCCTCCTTTCTTTCTATCTTTTTTCTTTCTTTTTCTTTTTCTCTTTCTTTTTTTTTGGTTTTTTGAGACAGAGTTTCTCTGTGTAGCTTTGGTCCCTGTCCTGGATCTCACTCTGTAGCCCAGGCTGGTCTTGAACTCACAGAGATCCGCCTGCCTCTGCCTCCCGAGTGCTGGGATTAAAGGTGTGTGCCACCACCACCTGGCTCTTCTTTCTTTTTTTAAGATTTGTTTATTTTACTTTGTATGTGAATGTTTTGCCTACATGCATATATGTATACCATGTCTATCTATGCCTGATGGATTCCTTAAAACTGGGGTCACAGATATTTGTAATCCACCGTGTGGGTGCTGGGAATCAAACCTGGGTCTTCTGCAAGAGCAACACTGTAAGGATTCTGTAAATTTGCAGCTGGGGTCTCATCTGGCGCCTTATTACATCATCAGCAGGTGACTGCGTCCCAGCCAAAAGGCCGGTTGTGCACCCCCATGCTCTCTCTCGGTCTCTGTCTCTCTCTGGACTCTCTGTGCCCCTCTCTTTCTGTTTCCTCTCCGCCAGGCCTGGCTTCTCCTGTCCTGTCCCCTCTTCTCTCTAATACAGCCCATTCTAACTCTGGTAACCGTGGCTTCTGATTCTTCCAATCGTGACTCTTCCACCGTAGACCAAACCAGCTCCGCGTTGCCGATCTAGCGCTGACCAACCAGTGCTAGCCAAACCATCGCCGTATACCATTTCAAACACGTGTTCTTTTTTTTTTTTAATAAGATTGATTGATTATGTATATAGTGTTCTGCCTGCATATATGCCTGCATGCCAGAAGAGGGCACCAGATCTTATTATAGATGGCTGTGAGCCACCATGTGGTTGCTGGGAATTGAACTCAGGACCTCTGGAAGAGCAGTCAGTGCTCTTAACCTCTGACTATCTCTCCAGCCTGCAACAAGTGTTCTTAACCCCTGACCCATCTCTGCAGCCCCTTCCCCGCTTCTTGAGACAAGATCTGACTATACAAGATCTGATGGCACCTCTCACATCAATCATTTATTAAGAAGATGTCCCACTGGGTGGTGGTGGCACACACTTAATCCCAGCACTCAGGAGACAGAGGCAGGTGATCTCTGTGAGAGCTAGCGCCAGGACAGCCAAGGCTACACAAAGAACCCTGTCTCGAAAAACCAAAAAGAAAAGAAAATGTTCCATGAGTTTGCCCACAGGTCAATCTTGTGGAACACTTGCTCAGTTGAGGTTTTCTCTTTCCAAATGACTCTGGCTCTGGTCAACTTGTCAAAAAGACTAAACGGGACACTTAGCATGCACAAAGGTCTAGGTTCAATCTCCAGTGTCACCACCCCACAAATGTAAAGATAGAAAAAAATCAATGACCTCTGGCCTCCACATGTGAGCTTACACACACACACACACACACACACACACACACACACACACACACACACACACACACTTCTCTGTTGCACTCATAGCAGGAAGATGGTTTCAAACACTTTGTTTGGGAAGTTATTGAAAGGTGTTCATTTTGTTTTTGAGGCAGTTGTGAGCTGCCATGTGGGTGCTAGGAACTGAACCCGGGTCCTCTTGAAGAACAGCCAGTGCCCTTAACCACTGAGCCATCTCGCCAGGCCCTCAGAAAGTTCTTGTTCAGAACCTGTAAGTGGACAGATGAGCAGGATTCTCTGAGTTTTGAACTCATTTTAGTTATGTGTCCATTTATGAATGAATTATGCTTCCTGTATGCCGAGTCCTAAGCAAGCATCCAAAGATCCTCTTGGGCTACACCCCAACCTTCTCCCCAGCCCCCACTAGTCCCCTTTACCTCAAACCCTGAAACACTTAAGCAGATGTCTTCCCAAAATACCAGGCATGGTGAGGTGTGCACTCCAGACCACTCAGTGTGTGACGTGTCTCTTGATGGCACTGTGAGGAGCGGTGCTCACCAAAAGAAGCTTGGGTTTTGGTTGTTTTTTGAGGCAGGGTATCACTGCAAGCCCTTGCTGGCCTCAAACTCATGGTAAACCTTCTGCTTCAGCATGCCAAGTGCTAAAATTATAGGCACGAGTCACCAGGCCTGGTAAAGGACCCTCTCTACTTTTTGCATGCTCAGACGTAGCAGCACATGGTCCCTGAAACCACAGTTCTCTCTTCTGGCTTGAGCACAGATCTTCCACTGCCTTGTCACAGGTCTCCATACTTTCTCCCAGGCACTTGACAGTTTCCCTTGACGTGTTACACCCAATATTTCTAGGGACACATTCACTTTTAGGGGGCAGGGGAGATCCTTTCCTTTTCTCCACACACAAAGCATTTTCTCAGCACCACTTTTCCCCCCAAGAGTCCCTTCCTGGGACTTGTAGGGTCACTTTGGCTAAGTGTCACTCTCCCTAGGTAACACGTACATCTTGGCGCTGGATCATGAGGGACATCTCACCATCTGCGGCAACTTTTTTTTTTTTTTTTTTGGATAGGGTTTCTCTGTGTAACAGCCCTGGAGAGAAGGTAACTATTTTATAATTCATTTTCTAAGAAGGAAGGGAAAGCCCTTTCTGAGTGGTGTGGGAAGCCCTGTGTCTTGCTTGGCTTGAGTAGCTGCAGGCGTCCATGGCCTGCGGTGGGTGGTTGGGGGTTGGCAGACCACAAAGACATGCTTGTCCCTGGACAGAGAAGGGCCTTGTTCATGGAAATATTTGCTGGTGGCGGAGCTAGGCACAGAGCAGTAGCCACCAGCAGTCCCGTACACAGAGAGAGCTTATTGGCTGAGCGGCTCGGAAACTGTCCCTGGGTTGGGGGTCTTAAGGACATTCTCCAGTCTATGGCCAGGCCCTCTTCAGCTGGGGTCCCATGGGGAGTGCCAACCTTCCCTCTCCCCAGCTGACTTGTTGGGTAGGGATCGGGGTGTAGGCGTGTTGCAATTAGGAAAGTTCCACTTGAACCCCAGCCCAGGTGACCTGGCCTCTTTGTGTCTCATTCTTGGTCTAGGCCTCTATCTTAAGTTGTGACTGAGGCCTCCCGATGCTGAGGATAGCGCTTGGGGCATGGTTATAATGTTATCCTTCATTAGCAGGCCATGAATGAGAAGACGGGGCCTGGGCTGACTCACCCTGCCTGACATGGTGGCACTTGGATCTCTATCTCATTGCCAGGCAGCTGGGTTTGGTGGTCCTTTGCTATCTTTTTTTTTTTTTAATTTTTTTTAAGGTTTATTTATTATGTATACAGTATTCTGCCTGCATGTGTCCCTGCAGGCCAGAAGAGGGCACCAGATCTCATTACAGATGGTTGTGAGCCACCATGTGGTTGCTGGGAATTGAACTCAGGACCTCTGGAAGAGCAGTCAGTGCTCTTAACCACTGAGCCATCTGTCCAGCCCCCCCTTTGCTATCTTTTTAAAACGGTCCTGAGGGTTGAGGATGTAACTCTGTTGGCATAGTGTTTGCCTCTCTGCCCAGTACCACATAAAACTGGGTACATGCCTATAATCCCAACACTTGAGAGGTAGAGGCATTAGGGAGTCAAGACCATCCTCAGCCACATCGAAGTTTGAGGTCAGATTGTGCCTCAAAAGAATTAAAAAGGAGAGCTGTCTCAGTCTTTGGGAATACTTCCTGCTGCAGAGGACCAGGGTCTGGTTTCCAGCATCCACAGCTACCCAAAACTCCATTCCAGAGGATCTGATATCCTCTCTGGCCTTTGTGGACATCAGGCACATATGTGGTGTACATACATACATATACAAGCAAACATTCATACACATAAAATAAAACAAGAAAATCTAAAAAAACATTTAAAAGTAAACATTTTTACTTTCTTTTTTTTTTGAGACAAGGTCTTACTATGTAACCCTGGCTAGCCTGGAACTTGCTGTGTAGATCAGAAATCCTCCTGCCTCTATTTCCTAATTACTGAGATTAATGGTGTGTGCCACCACACCTAGCTCTCTCTGTTTTAAAGGTTCTAGAGGTGGTGAAAGGCCCTTGAGAGAAGCAGGGACAACTCCTGAGAACCCAGCAGCCTGAGCCTACTGTCCAGTTGGGGCCAGCGCACATGGGAGTGAGGATCTGGCAGCTTCTGGGATAGGGGAGACTGCTTTATTGGTCTGGGGCCTCTTCAGCTCTCTGGCCGCAGCATTAAGTGTCTGAGAAGAGGTGCCTCAGGGAGGTGGAAGTAGAGCTAGCTGAGGAGGCAGATACAGGATCTGGAGACCCCTTACCATCTTGGAGCGAAGACTGTTGGAAAGACTGGGCCATGGACTTGTCTGAGCTGGGAGGCTGGAGGGTCTGAGAGCTGGGGGCCAAGCCTGGCTGGGTGGTGGATTAGCTGAAGAACAGAGTCTGTGCAGCTCACTCTGCACAGTACATTGAGGACTCAGATGACCCTCACCAGGATTTGGTTCGCCTGCAATATTAGAATGCAAGACAGTCCCCACCCAAACCAGGTGCAAGGTATCTAGCCCTCACCCGAGATGCATAAACAGTAGCCAGCAGATGGCACCAAAGGCCTGCTCCAAAGGTGAGTCTCTGGCCGGTTAGGCAGGTGCCTTTGAAGTGCCCCCTGATAACTTGTCAGTGGGGTCTTTCAGGCCCAAGCCCTCTTTTGACATCCCCCTCATCTCTAAACTGTGCCTCTACCTCCCCTCTGGCTCATGCTCCCGGGTCTGTTGGACTTCGCTTCTATTCAGAATGGGCTCCTTGAAAGCCAGCTGATGGAAGGCTTCAGGCCATCTAGACACCCTCTGGAGTCTCTCCCAGAAATATCCCTAGGGCTATTTTGGATGGGTGTGGAGGTGAGAGATGTCCCCTGGCATGACCACAGCACCACCTGTGAACGGGCTGCTTTCTGCTGGACAGCTCTTTGAAGGGGCATGGCCAAGCTAGGTGATACACACGAGGAATCCCAGCACAGGAGGCTGTGGGGGGATGGCTCAAAGTTCAAGGCCAATGTACTATCTCAGAAGAAAAAGAGGAGGAAGAAGAGGAGTCAGTTTGAAGACTAAGGACAGAGCACTGCTACGCCAAGAGACAGACATGTAAGTTGCTAGGAGACAACTGGTTTATTGACATAGCTGTGGAGTCCCCACTCTCATCTGTGGTTCTGAGTCTCCAGCCAGTGCTGGGAAACTCACCAGCCACCAGCACGAAGGCTGGCGGACACAGCCAGCAGAGACAGTTGTTGACCCGGGCTGTTTAGGTGGGATAGGACATCTGAAGTCAGTACCTATGTCTAGTCCATGCTTAGATCATGAAAGAGTAAAGAATACAACATACTCTATACCAGCAGGGCACCCAAGGCCTCCTGTCCCGGAGCCCCTGACCAGGCTGTTCTTGGGGTGCTAGCAGCGTGGGCAAGGGAGTGGGCAAGGTCATCAAGCTGGCCAGCTGGGAGCTCAGGCCCATCCTGCAGTTCGTGCACAGTGGATGCAGGGGCAGGAGGATGTAGAAGCAAGCAACACAAGGGAGTTGTGTGGAGTTGGGGCCCAGCATCATAAGGGACAGGAGCCTCCATGTGCACGAGGAAGGCCAGGGAAAGAGGCCTTGTCCACCTGCAGAGTGCTGGGGCCTTGGCAGCAGGTTGGGGGGCGGGGACTGGCACTGCCAGATACAGGTTTGGCTGAGGCTGGTTTGGAGAGGAGAGTATGGGTTGGGGCTGGGGCTGGGGTGGCAAAGGAGCCACCCGCAAGTGTAGCTGGGCCTGTGCACAGTACCCTGCCTGGAGACAGGTGACCCAGCTACACCCAGCCCATCTGTGTCCTTGGTATAAAATAATACACATATAAAAATAATACTCCATCATACATTAGGGTTGGGCCTGCGACAGATGCAGCCTCCCCTCTGCCTCTGGCGAAGTTTGCTGGTTGGTCTAGCTGTCCTCCGCCCTCCTCTGGTTCTTGGTATGAATCTTGTTCATAAGCACCTCCAGCTCCGACCCACTTTGCTGTTTTTAGGAAAGAGATTGGATCTCAGCCGGGAGGTGGAGGGATAGGGTGTACAGGTTAGGGCTGTTTTCTGCTTTCCCAGTGACCCCAGGAGCAGGTTCACGTGCTAATGAAGGAAGTAGGCAGGAGCCGCTCACCTCTAGGAAGGCCTTCTGAACCATGAGCTGGCTGTACACGCGACTGCCCTCTTCCCCGCACACCTTTTTCAGCTCCTCCTTGTTGAGGGAGAAGAGCTGGGGCCCGGTCAAGATTCCCAGGTTCTCCACGATCCTAGGGGCAGGTGGGCGTGAGGGCAGGGCTGTGGGCGTGGCGGTGTCCTGGCCCTGCCCCTCCGGCTGTGTACACACGGCTCACCTGCCACTGAAGGCCTTGGCTTCCAGCCAGGCTCGGACCTCGTCGGGACCTGACTGGAAGGTAAGCGGCAGGTGCACTGGCTGGCTGCGCTCCACGCGGAAGTGGCGCTGCGGCTGTGCCTTGATGTGGCTGATCTTTTTCATGAGCTCCTCATTGACCTCGTCCATATGGTGGATTAGCTCTGTGGGGCACAAGCTCTAAGCCCCTCCAGTTCTTCTCGTCTCACCAACACCCCCCCCCGCCCCGCCCCGCACTTCTGACCCCAAAATGGTTCTACTTACCTTCTTTGTTCCCTGCGAAAATTGGGGGCACTTTGTGGGTGGGACTGGCAGGACCCCAGTATTTCTGGCCAGACTGCAAAGGGTGGGGAAGAGGTGAGGGGTAAGGTGAGGGACTGTTAGGGCTTACCCAAGACCCCAGGTGTGTAGGCCAGCCCTTCCTTCCCTTGAGTAAGACCCCAGGAACCCACACCAGCCCTGGGCCCAGCTTGGGGGCAGCAGGTTTCCAGGGCTCAGGTTCAAACGTCACATTGAGACCAGCTGCACCCCTGACCTTAGGGGCTCTGACTGTGTTGGAGACAGAATGGAGCCGTGGCAGGCGATCACCTGTTCCAAGGGGGCACCCACGTCTTCCTGCCGCGCCTCAGCCAGGATGTTGCAGGGCACGTAGCCAGCCTGGCCACTGCGATTTCGCAGTTTCCACCACTGCCGGCCATCCTCCAGCACCTGCCAAGGTATCAGAATGTCCGTGAGACCCACCAACACCCGTGTGCAGACCCCTAGACATACTAGAGTCAGATGCTGGGACCCCTTGCCAGACCCTTTACAGAGGGGCAGAGAGTCCTCCAGGTGTCTCCTGAAGCCCAGCTCTTCATCCTCTGGGCACCGTCTTGGCCTAGTGGGCTACTCCACGCCTGCCTGGCCTCCCCAGTCCTGGGGATAGGGTGCCTTTTAACCTGATTCTCTGAATGTAGAACTTCCCTCATCCTGCTCCACTTTCTGTCCCTCGGTGGGTGGCCTGGATTCATGTTTGGCACAAAGAAGCTGGTCTACTGTAGTGCTCTTGGGTGGGCATGAGTGACAAGACCCTGCTGGTTTCTATTGAAAGGCCACCCACCATTGTAGACCTTCAGGGATCCCCCAGACACCAGAAGGCAGCTCAGTGACTCAGCCAGATTGTGGTGGGGGGCCAGAGAGGCCCCTGTGGGCCCAGGTCAAGAACCCTGGGAAGATGGGTGGATTACACAACCTGGTCCCAGAGTACGCCCGCCCCACTTCCCCCGGATAGCCCAAGTCCTCACCTCTAGGACCTCATCCTTGAGCACGGACAGCTCATTGGCGTTGCGTGCTGTGAAGTCATAGAGGATCTTCACATACTTGGCCATGGCTGGTGTCGGCTGGTAGCCCCTGCAGGACCAGGAAAGGTTAGGGCCCAGGGCTGGACAGGGGTCTCTTCCAGCTTCCCAGCTGCGGCTGCCTCTCGCTCTGCTGCCCAGGTTGCAGTGGAGAGAGGCTGTGCTCATTAGCTGGGAACGGAAACTGTGACACCCCAGCAGGCTGGAGGGGGCAGAACAGATTCCAAGAGGCTGGCCCAGCCCAAACCGTCTCAGGGAGTCTCTCTTGCTCTGCTCCTCAGAGGGACTAGAGACCGAGGTGTGCCTGGGGAGTGACAGGGTCACACTTTCCCAGCTGACCACAAGGTTAAGATAGTTTCAGAGTCATAGTCCCTTAGAGGCAACTATGTGTCCTCCGGAAGCCCTCCAGCATCCCTGGGGCAGGGTGGGCTCTGGCTGTTGGTTTACCCCTCAGCCAGGTCACATTCCTGGTTAGCGAGGCCCTGCTATAGGGCAATGCCCTATTCAGGAGCGCTGGAGAGGAAGGAGGACTCGGGGATTCAGGTGTGTGCCCAGTGTACTGACAGGCTGAGAATGATCCTGACATGTGGTCCTAGCAGGGACACTGTAAACAAGCTAAAGAAGGCCAAGGAAAGGGGCTTGCTTGCTGGAAATTCCTGTGGCTAGCTCTTGAAAGGGAGCCCCGGGACCACCAGGTAGACCCTGAACAGGAGTAAGAAGCAGAGGAGGGAGAGACAGGAGGGGCACCCCCGTTTCTTGGGCCTGTGTTTTATTCACTGTGAGATGTAGGATGCACAGCAGGGGAGGGGACAACCTGGGACCCTCGCTCTGTGTCCCAGCAGCACCACAGTGGGCAGCGCTTGCTAGAGCAGCTGCCGTTCAGTACGTCTGTTTCTTTTTTTCCTTTTTTAGTTCAGTAAGTTTCTAACCCTGATTTTAATTAATTGATTTTTTTTTAATTTTTATTTATTTTTTTTTTTGGTTTTTCGAGACAGGGTTTCTCTGTGTAGCTTTGCGCCTTTCCAGGATCTCGCGCTGTAGCCCAGGCTGGCCTCGAACACACAGAGATCCGCCTGGCTCTGCCTCCCGAGTGCTGGGATTAAAGGCGTGCACCACCACCGCCAGGCTAATTGATTTTTTTTGAGACAGGGTCTCACTGTTCAGTCATTGGCTGCCTGGGACTCACAGAGATCTCCTCTGAGTGCTGGGATTAAAGGTGGGCACCATTATGCCCTGGCCTTATTTAGGGGAGGGAAGAACAGGTTCTCACCATGTAGCCTAGGGTAGCTTGGGACTCTATGTAGCCCAGGTAGTTCAGGTTGGCCGTGGAGTCTGAGCAAACCTCTTGCTTCAGTCTCCCTAAGTGCTAGGAAAAGAGCCCTCACACCTGGCGTTTTTGCTATTTGTGTTTTGAGACAGGGTCTCATAAAGCAGCCTTGGCTGTCCTGGAGCTCACTATGTAGACTCAGAGATCTGCCTGCTTCTGCCTCCTGTGTGCAACACCACCCCCAGCCTCCATCCCTTTCTAACCTTGGTTGTAAAACCAGAAAGTACAGGAGGAACTGATGTGAATTAAGGTTGTAAAAGCATACGTGACTTGAAATTTTCCCTTCAATTGCATGTTACAAGGTTAAGAAGAAAATCGGCCGCTAACACAAAACAAACTCAGTGGTGTATTTGTAGGGTTTTTGTTACATAATGCTTTGTTTTTGTTACATTTGTAGGGTTTTTGTTACATAATGCTTTGCCTGGGCTCCCCGCCCCTTACAGGTTTTTTGCTTATGTATTGTAGAAGTTTCCACTTTTGTGTTTTGATGGGATTTCTGTGTGTGTGTGAGTGTGTGTGTGCTCACGTTTCTGTGTCTGTACGTTTCTTTTTGTTTGTTTGTTTGTTTGTTTGTTTTCGAGACAGGGTGTCTCTGTGTAGCTTTGCACCTTTCCTGGATCTCGCTCTGTAGCCCAGGCTGGCCTCGAACTCACAGAGATCCGCCTGGCTCTGCCTCCCGAGTGCTGGAATTAAAGGCGTGCGCCACCACCGCCCCGGCTGTATGTTTCTTAGAGACGTTTCCGATTCTGTGTTTTGATGGGATTTCTCTGTGTGTGCGCGTGTGTGTGTGTGTGTGTCTGTACGTCTCTTCTTATGCTGTTCCTTTGGCTCTCTTCTTCTGCTTGTTTGTTTGTTTTGTCCTGTTCTGGTTTGTTTGTGGGTTTTTTTTTGTTGTTTGTTGTTGTTGTGAGAGAGAGAAATAAAGGGTGTGGATTTGGGTGTGTGGGGAGGATCTGAGAGGAGTTAGGGGGGAGGAAGCCATAATCAGAATATATTAAATGAAAAATTATTTTCAGTAATAATTATATAAAAAAGAATAAAATTGGATTCCCGTTTGGAAAATAAATATTTTACACCAGAACAAGGAATTTGCCACGTGTGATGGCAAGCATACTGGCCACTTGCCACTGCATGTGGCTCTCACTCCAGGGGGCTTACCTGTTAGTATGTGGGGCGCTGCCTGGCGGTACAATGTCTTCTGGGACCGGGGTCTCAGAAGAGAGGCTGTGCTTCGGGGAGTGCCGTACAGACACTTGCCTCGCAGGGGTCAGCTGTGGAGAAAGCAGGGAGCCTGGGCTTGAAGTGGGGTACAAGCTGGACTAGAGGGACCATGATGAGTCTCAGGACCAGGGACACAGGGGAGGAGCTTGATGAATGTGTTGTGACCTAGCTGTGACCTAACACCATTGAGGACAAAGGGTCAAATACCCAGGTGAGCCAAGGTGGCCTGACATTGCAGGGGTTAAGGCAGGCTGTCCATGTTGCTTTGGGGCCGTCAGGGTGACAGCACACAGGTGGGCTGAGGAGGTGAGCTCTGGGGAGGGGTGGCCATAGGCGGGGTGGGGCTGGGCTGGAGTTCTGACCTGGTCACTGGGCACAGATGCTAGTCCCTCCACTTCCCAGGGAGCCTCCTGTAGGACGTCCAGGGGTGGTTCCCAGCCGCTGTGGAACTTGGGTACATAAAGTGGCACCTGTGGCTCCCGGGGCCACTCAGAGCTGTGGTTGGCAGTCCAGAAAGTCAGTCACATACCCTGCTGGGACCAACCCACCAGGGACCTCCATCTTAGTTCATATCTTGTCCCTTCTCCATACCGAGGCCTCATCCAGGTCTCCCCCAATGATTCCCACAGTGTCATCTCTTTGGGGACCAGGTGGCCACGCAGGAAGCTCACAGCTTCAGTGGACAGCAGAGGACTGGAGACAGAGCGCGCAATGTCTGGGCCGCCACAGGTGTTGACAATCTGGACACAGAGTGAGTTTCAGTGGGGGGCGCCCAGCCCACCAAACCTACCAGACCCAGCCTACCACCCACCTGCCACAGCTCTACAGGCTGGCCCTCAGAGAGGGACTGTGGCCTCCTGGGAACCTAGACACAGCTTGAATATGCTAAGGTGGGCACTTGTTCCCTCCGCCCCAAACCCACGGTGTGTCATTCTGTCATCCCTGATCCCACCCTGCCCCAGCCCTAGTCACCAGATCCAGAGGCCCAAAGAGGAAGTGCACCAGCTCAGCTGCACTGGGGTTTTGGATATGCTTTTGCAGCTTCGCCTGGGGGGGTGGGAAGAACAAGCAGGTGACAGACGGCATGTGCGTGTGTGAGCCTGTGTGACACCCCACCCTCACGACCAGCACAGGGCGGGGCTGACTCACCAGCAAGTTGATGGCTAGCTTGGTTTTCTGGAAACAGTCCACAAACTCTCCTTCTGACGGGGGCCGGGCTCGAAGCGTGAGGACGCCCTCTGGCAAAAGGTGGACCGCTGTGAGCCTTGGACCCCACAGAGTGGCTGGTGGGTCCAACCCCGCCTGTTGTTGGATACTGTCCCCATCCAGACTCGACTGTCCTCCAGCTCCGCGTGTGCTTGCCAGGTCTTGCCCCAGGGTTGTCCATCCCTCCCCCGTTACTCCTGCCAGTACCTGCTGGCGCCTTCTTGCCCTTCTTCTTCCCCTTCTTCCGCTGGCTCAATTGCTTGAAAGCCTCAGCCGCCTTCTGTAGCCGGGCCACAAACCATTCGATGTCGTCCAGGGCACAGTTGAGGATTTGCTGAGGTTAGAAGAGGGGCCAGGGGTCAAGCCACCGTCATCCCCACCTGCTGTGGGGACACTTTGGCAGCAGGACGAGCCAGGCCCAGTGCCAACGGGAAGCGGGCAAGGATGGCCACGAGTCTTGGAAAGCTGGGCACCCACCGTTTCCTTTTCTATTCTCCGAGCCAGCACGGCCCGTGGCTCCTCATCCTGGGATTCCCTGCGGCGATAACCTGTTGGGGGATGGCGCAGGTGCTGAAGGGCTCTCCATAAACCCCAAGGGGAGTCCCCACCCACCCCTTAGCCTACCTGGCTCACTGAATGGCACTGGCAATGGCAGGCCCACACGGTTCTTGGCCTGAGGGGAATCTCCAGCCTGTCTCTGGAAGGGAATGGGGGCCGGGCTCTGAGGAGGAGGCAGGATAGACTGCCGCTGACGGATCTTCTCCTGGTGTCCCCTAGAGGGGAGGGAAAGGCACAGCTCAGCCCGGCCACCCTGCAGCCCTCACTACCCAGGCTACTGGGCCCCAAGCGGAAGGGCGAGATCCTTCACTTTCCACACCCCCAGGGCAAGGCCCTACTTTAGGGTCTGTGGCCGTATCTTCTTCCCCAGTCGGTGGTCAGCCAGGGCACTCTCAATGTCCTCCTGCACCAGCTCCGCCTGGGGACACAGAGGTGTCAGGCCAGCTTGGCCCCCTGGCCCCCTGCCCACCCCTGGCTGCCTGCCTCACCTCCACCTCATCACAGTGGAAGAAGTGGATGTCTGGCTTGCTCTGGTCCGAGTCCTGGCACACGAGCAGCAGCACGGAGGAGTAGCGGAGCTGGTTTAGCACGGTCTGGCTGTGCTGCACGGTGGGTAGCGGGAAGTTCTCCAGCTCCTCCTGTGGGAGGGTGTATGATGGGTCAGCCGAGCCTGACAGGCCCTGGGTATGGCTGGAGGCTGCCGTCCTGAGCACAGATAACACTGTGTGCCGCTGAGGAGGGGACCCCAGCCGTGGACAGATAGTTCTGGCCCTCGTGTGTGGAATATGCTCCACAGATAGAAACACATGTGTAGCTCACAGGTACAAAACAGGAACCCAGCCCAGACTTGGCCCATAGGCAGGGACAGACACGAATGGGGATGCCCCAGAGCATAGGCCCCTGAGGCACAGCCAGGTCTGGCGTGATGCAGCCAGCCAGGCTCTTGCAGAGAACAGTGCTGCCCTGGTTGCTCAGCAACCTAGCAGATGCAGATCTAAGCCAGCCTAGGTTGCCAAAAGTGGCCTAGACTCTCAGCTAGATCCGTTTTCCCCTACCCACCCCCAGCCCCATTCCCTTCCACAGACAAGCATGGCCACACACATCTGGGTGAACTGCACGTCTGGCCCTGCCTCTGCCCATCAACTCCCGGGACCTGCTCTTGCCAACTAGTACCTGAGACTCCACGTCCAGCAGTCGCAGTGACTTGTCGTTCACCTGCAGCAGCACTTCCTGGGCCCAGACCTTTTCCTTGGAGCTCAGCTGCACCAGCTTCCGGATGGCATCATCCACTGAGGCAATAGCCTCGCTCTTGTCCATGATGAATGTGGCCAGGTGCTAAGGGAAGGGTCAGAGGTCAGTGCTGGGCACACAGCTCTTCTACTACTTAAACCCTGGGCACAAAGGAAGGCTTCAGCCATCTGGGGACCCTGAGGGAGCCACAGCTATACCTCAGGTGGGAGGAACTGCCCTTCTGCTCTGGTGTGTGTCTTTGTGGTTCATGATTGCTGACTAAAGTCCTCAAAAACTGTCAGACTGGGGCAGGAGAGATGGCTCAGTGGTTAAGAACAGTAGCTGCTCTTTCAGAAGACTGGGGTTCAGTTCTCAGCACTCACATAGCTGCTCACAACCCTCTGTAGCTCCAGTTCCAGGGGTTCTGATGCCCTCTTCTGCCCTCTACAGCCTCGAGTCACACATGTGGTGTACAGACCCATACATGCAGGCAAAACACCCATACATATGAAAAAATAATTAAACCGTTTTCCAGACTGCCTGGATATGGTGGGACATGCTTTTAATCCCGGCATTCAGGATTTAATCCCATCTGCAGAGGCAGGCAGATCTCTGTGAGGTTGAGGCCAGCCTGGTCTACACAGTAAGTTTCAGGCCACCCGCAGTAAGACCCTGCCTCAAGAAATGTACATAAACAAGCAAGCAAACAAACAAGTAAGTGACCAGACTACTGCACAGCCTTGTGCCACTCCTCTTGTGTCTCATGACACTGTGATGGAGGGACAGTGGCATTTAGGAGCCTCGGCCTTCGCCCCCACTGTCCTGGCCTCCCTTCTCTCATAGACGGCGCCTTCCTTATTGCTTTGGTTCTTATTTCTTCTGTCTTTTTGAGACAGGGGATCATTTATCCCAGGCTGGTCTCAAACTGAAACTCTGCTATGTAGCTGAGGATGACCTTGAACTCCTGATTCTCCGGCCCCGTCTCCTAAGCACTATGATTGCAGGTTTGTGCCATCATATCTGTACAAATCTGTGGTATTCAGGGTATTGAGCATCAAACCAAGGATTTGTGCATTTTTTTTTTTAATATGGAACGCTTCACGAATTTGCGTGTCATCCTTGCACAGGGGCCATGCTAATCTCTGTATCGTTCCAATTTTAGTGTATGTGCTGCTGAAGCGAGCACTTGTTTGGTTTTTGAGACAGGGTTTCTCCATGTAGTTTTGGTGCCTGTCCTGGATCTCACTCTGTAGACCAGGCTGGCCTCAAACTCACAGAGATCCGCCTGACTCTGCCTCCCAAGTGCTGGGATTAAAAGCGTGTGCCACCGCCCGACTTATAAATAGCCTTTTTTTTTTTTTTTGCTTATTTTGAGACAGGGTCTCATTTTTGCCCTGGCTAACCTGGAACTCACCAAGATCTACCTGCCTCTGCCTTCCAAGTGCTGGAATGAAAGGCGTGTGCTACCACACCCAGCTATTTTATTTGGTTTTATAGACGGGATCTCACTATGTAGCTCTGACTTTCCTGGAATTCATTATACAGACCAGGCTGGCCTTGAACTCATAGAGATCTGCCTTCTTCTGCATATGGAGCTCTGGAATTAAAGGTATACACCACTATGCCAGGACTTATTTTTTATTTGTTTCATCAGAATGAATGGAGCTTTATTAAGGCAAGTGAGAAAAAAAATCCTGATTCTAAAGGAGGAATAGTCTCTTTTTGTTTGTTTGTTTGTGTTTGTTGTTTGTTTGTTTTGACAGGGTATTGCTATGTAGTCCAGGCTGGCTTTGAACTTGTGGCAAGATTCTCTTATTTCTATCTTCTAAGTGTTTCTGGAATTACAGGCATGAGACATAACACACACACACACACACACACACACACTGTGTGTGTATATATATGTATATACACATATACACATACATAGTGTTACAGACATGTGACACAATACTATATATATACATATATATGTAGTGTACAGACATGTGACACAATACTATATATACATACACACACACACACATATATATATATATATATGCACGCATATGTAGTGTATGAGCGTTTGCCTACATGTGTGAATGTGCACCAGTGTCTGCTGCCCATGGGTTTCAGAAGAGGGCATCAGATCCCCTGGAACTAGTTAGGGATCGTTGCAAACCACCATGTGAATGCTAGGAATCAAACCCAGGTCCTATGCTCTGAGCCATCTCTCCAGTCCCTGATGTAACTTAAAAGCCTGTCTCTGCCTCCCAAGTGCTGAGATTAAAGACACGTACCACCACGCCCCGACCCAATGTAACTTTTTGACAAAGTGAACTAGATGAAGTCTGACTAAATTAAAAAAAAATGCAAACTGACACTCTTAAGAGACTATTATTTCAGGATTGAGATGGCCATTGACTTTTTCACCTATCCGACTCGCCCGTGAGCTACACTTGTGTGTTCAGACCCAGAGAAGCAGCTAGCTGCTCTCATCCTGCCCAGCCTCTCCACTGACAAACTGGTGGCATCTTGAAAAGCAAATGCTTGCATCTTCCCCTTCTGAGTCTATTGCAGGTAACCTGCACAGATGCAGTCTATTGCAGGTAACCTGCACAGATGCAGTCTATTGCAGGTGACCTGCACAGATGCAGTCTATTGCAGGTGACCTGCACAGATGCAGTCTATTGCAGGTGACCTGCACAGATGCAGTCTATTGCAGGTAACCTGATCAGATGCAGTCTATTGCAGGTACCCTGCACAGATGTAGTCTATTGCAGGTACCCTGCACAGATGCAGTCTATTGCAGGTAACCTGCACAGATGCAGTCTATTGCAGGTAACCTGCACAGATGCAGTCTATTACAGGTGACCTGCACAGATGCAGTCTATTGCAGGTGACCTGCACAGATGCAGTCTATTGCAGGTGACCTGCACAGATGCAGTCTATTGCAGGTGACCTGCACAGATGCAGTCTATTGCAGGTGACCTGCACAGATGCAGTCTATTGCAGGTAACCTGATCAGATGCAGTCTATTGCAGGTAACCTGATCAGATGCAGTCTATTGCAGGTACCCTGCACAGATGTAGTCTATTGCAGGTACCCTGTACAGATGCAGTCTATTGCAGGTAACCTGATCAGATGCAGTCTATTGCAGGTACCCTGCACAGATGTAGTCTATTGCAGGTACCCTGCACAGATGCAGTCTATTGCAGGTAACCTGCACAGATGCAGGTTTAGTTCAGGTTGGTGGCTGCAGACAGGTTCAGCAATGAGTAGCCAGTGGGATAGGAGACCAGTCTTCCATTTCTGTGAGGCAGAGGAAACACGGAAACCAAATCCAGCCACACAACTAACCAAACAAAATCATGCTGCTAGGTGATGAAACAAGACTCAGGAAACACCAGAAGACTGAATCACAGAATTCGTTGACCTTAGGGGAATGAGAGTAGAAATCAGTACTAAAAACTTCAGCAGGGCGTGGTGGGGCAAAGCTGTAATCTCAACACTTGGAAGGTACAAGACAGGAGAGCAGGGGTTCAAAGTCCTCTTCATCTATGTAGTGTTCCAGACTAGCTGGTCTGGGAGCTATGGGGCCCTGTCTCAAAAACCATCAAATAAGCCGGGCGGTGGTGGCGCACGCCTTTAATCCCAGCACTCGGGAGGCAGAGCCAGGCGGATCTCTGTGAGTTCGAGGCCAGCCTGGGCTACCAAGTGAGTCCCAGGAAAGGCGCAAAGCTACTCAGAGAAACCCTGTCTCGAAAAACCAAAAAAAAAAAAAAAAAAAAAAAAAATCAAATAAATAAATTAAAACTAAGCTGGCCATGGGGATAGATGCTAGTAATCCTCACACTTGGGAGCAGTGGGATCAGGAGTTCCAGGCCAGTTTGGGCTACAGAGTGAAACCCTGCCTCAAAAACATATGAATGAATGAATGAATGAATGAATGCATGAATGGCATTAGTAAATAACTTATGGGTCAAAAATGAAGTCACAGCCAGGCAAATGTCAGTGACTCATGCCTTTAGTCCCAGTAATCAGAAGACAGAGGGAGGTGGCGCTCTATGAATTCCAGGCCAGCCTGGTCTATGAGTTGCAGGTCAGCCAGGGATACATAGTATGACCTTGTCTTAAAAAGAAAAGAAAAGAAAAAAAAAGCCAGGCAGTGGTGGTGCATGCCTTTAATCCCAGCACTCAGGAGGTGGAGGTAGGTGGATCTTTGTGAGTTCAAGGCCAGCCTGGGCTACAGAGTGGGTTCCAGGAAAGGCTCCAAAGCTACGCAGAGAAACCCTGTCTCAACAAACAAAAAGGAAAAAAAAAAGGAAGAAAGAAAAAAGAAAAACAAAATAAAAAATGAAGCCACAAAGTCACAATGTACTTCCATATCACAATTTGTGAAATAAACTAATGTTTCAGCAAAACTTTTAGCTTTCAATGAATATACTAGTTTTTTTTTTTTTTTAAGCATTTAAGATCAATTATCTAAGCTTTTACCTTAATAAACTAGAAAAACCTGCTGGGTGTGTGGTTCAGTGGTAGAATCTTGTCTGGCATGTACAAGGCCCTGGTTTCCATCACTAGCCCTGAAACTAAACAAACAAAGCAAGCAAAACACAATAAAACAAGACCCAAAGTATATAGAAGGAAGGAAATTAAGGACAGAAATCCACAAACTAGTGAACAATCAACCAGAAAATTAAGTCAAAAATTTAATGAAGTCCAAAGTTAGCCCCTCAGCAAGGGTAATTAGAGGCAACACTGATATCCAAGCAGGACGTGGTGATGATGTATACCTGCTATCACAACACTCTGGGGGCAGAGGCAGGTGGAAGCAGGAGGGTCACTGCAAATTCAAAGCCAGCATGGTCTACATAGCAAGTTCTAGGCTAGCTAGGGCTAATTTGAAAGACTTTGCTACACACACACACAAAAAAAAAAAAAAAAAGAAAGAAAAGAAACAACTACAATAATAATAATTAAAAAACAAAAACAAACAAACAAAAAAAACAAATGAACAAATAAAAATACCCTGATGATTTTCAAAAGCCAAAAGAAAAGAAGAGACATTATTACAAATCATACAGACATGAGAATGTAACTTGTATACAAAGGAAATCTCG